CTGCAGACCAGATGTTGCCTACCAAACAGGCGCTATGAGTTCTCGCAGAGACTAAACTTGGCAGCGGTCCGGAACGGCGAATAGCGGACCTACTTTCTGGATGATCCCTATGCGAACGACTTGGCCTGGTCGTGCGAGACACCTCGGACTTGACAAGCTGTCAGGCCTCTCACAAATTCAAATTATGCTATAGCGGAGGGGTGCTTTGTAATTGTGTATTGGTATAATGGACGATATTCAATTATACTCATAGTATTTTGGTTAAGGTTTTAAGGTGTCTGGAAAAAAAACGCAACCCTAAAAAAGCTCTTGACTTGAGGGGCAAAATAAATTGATGAGCAGAAGATCAGACGAAATAAGTCAGGATGGGATATGCCATCATGCCTTCCCCATAGACAGGACACGCAGATGACATCTGACTCAGGTGTTGTTTCACCTGTGTCCTCGCCGAGGGAAGTCCTGGCGGGGAGGGAGGTCAGGGGGGCTGTGAGCAGGCTGAGCCAAATGCCCGTCGTGACTGGAGCTTTATAATTACCGCCCTGCCAATAATTATTATTGCCGTTCTGCCAATAATTCCTAGTAGGAGGCGGAGTGAGGTGAAGAGAGCAGAGGGGAGAGAGGGAGAGTAGGAGGAGGGAGGGGGGGGGGGGCAGCAGCACCCAGCTGTGAACAAACTGAATGAACGCGTAGGAGCAGCCGCGCGCCACTACGCGCCGCGCCACGCCACGCCGTGTGCCGTGCCTCGCGGCCACAAGTCAGTCCAGCCGGTCCCACCCATTGACGGGTTTTGCCATGCGTTTTCAGAGAGTGGACACACTGCGAGAAGAAACAACAACCGTCGTGCGCGGAAAGGTGCGGCATTATGTGCTTATTTAGATAGTCCCGAAGACTGTCTCTACCGGAAGGCAAAGTAGTTACCCTTCCCCCTCCCCTCCGCGCTCTCTACCCTCACACAAGGCGCCGAAAAAACAGGTAATGTTTCTCAAATTAATATCAGACCATGGCTTGACAAGCACAAAAGAAATCGATATTTTTTCAAAACTGTATAGTAGCTAACATGTCAGGACGGGGTGATTCAGGGTGAGTTGCTTGAGGTGGTTAGCATTAGGCCTGGTAGGCGCGACGTAGGCGTCGCACAGCGCCGCGTGCATCGCGCGCCGCGTCAGGCCGCCGCGGCCTGGCCGGACAACCTGTAGGTACGCCCTCCTCGCCTGGAGCCGCGCCGCGCGCGGACTGCCTTCGCGCCTACACGCGCATTCACACAAACACACACTCACTCGCATAGCAGCGGCGGCGTGCTGCCTCCGAAGATAAAATAAAATAAAAATAAAACAGCAACAACAACAACAAGCAGGAGAGGGCCGTTAATGGCGCTCGAATGGGATTCGAACCGGCGCCGGCGGCCGCCGCCCCGCCGAGTGCGTGGCCGCCGACGGGTACCATCCTCGTCGTGCATCTTCGGTGATTGCCGATTGTTCGCTGCACACGAGCGTCGTTGTCGTCGTGCCGCATTGCATCTCGTCGCAACTCAGCGATCGGCACAAGCGCAGCAAATAAAACGCGAGTGAAAAGAAAAAAGGAAAAAAA